ATAAATGGGATCATAACAATACCTCCAGATAGTAGTCAAATAAAAAGTGGATCTTACAAATAAATTAGGATTAAAAGCAATTCCAATGGAAAGTTCTCCCTCAAAAAATTTCAATACATATATTAATTAAGAGTATTTTAAAATTACAAGAAATCCAATCCAAAAACTTTCAAAGGAAAATTTTTGGATTAGGTTTGCCGTAACTTTAATATACTATATTTATATATCCACATATATGTATTTTGAAACATTTGGTTGTAAGTCTTTTTTTTTCAAAACAAATAAAAACATTTGGTTGAGAAACTTGTGGGGTTGTTCTTACTATTACACATGAAGAAAAAATTTATCGAGAGACAAATAGTCAATTCAAAGGTAAAATTTTTAAGAGTTTTTTAATATCTTGTCTTCTGAATGTAAGCAAAGGTCGACGTGAGTCTTTAAGTAAAAGGACGATGTGAATATGTGGACCATTCATGTTCCATCTCCAGTCATCGGGAACAAAAATTACAAGTACAGAAGTTACTTATTTTATGAAATACGAACAAGGCAAGGAAAGAAGCTCTCTCCCAATCTATAACTTAGTGTGTGTGTATCCTTGCAAAAAAGCTTGTAAATATTTACTAAACCTAATTTGAATACAACACTAGCTAGTGAGTAACTGATATGTTGTTTGACATCAAATTCTAAATCATATACGGTTATGTATTATGTTCCTTTATTAAATACATCATAGCTAGAGAGGTAAGAAAATTGCAATCCCTATTCAATTTAACGTCAGTTATGCACTTGTGACCAACGTGTCTAAAATGCAAATCAGGATAAAATTGAAATATTTAGAGAAAGAAGGAGCTCCCTTCAGTCCAAACACAGATAAAGAGGGATGAAAAACATCTCCCGCATCATTCACACAGTCACTGTGGCCTAAAACTTTCTTGCCCTTTTACCACGGGTGTTTGAATGGATGAGTCGGCAGATATTTCTACTCTCTTCTTGTTCTATCCATGATTGGACTGAAAGAATCTCCTTCTATATCTATCTTAGTTCCATACATAGACTTGAAATACTAAAGGGTAAGATTTATATAAAAGCAAGTTTGGGTTCAAATAACACATAGGCATATGAGATATAGTTTCAAAAACACATGCACTTATATGTTGTTTATAGCTATCCAAGTACAAAAAGACATGTGACCAAGACATCTGCCTTTGTACTTATATTTGAACATTTGGTTTGAAATGGTATTTGCATGTATTTATAAATGCATCAGTGCATAGAATGCCAACTATAATATAAGTATATACATATATATATATATGTATATGGGATCTATGTTTGAAACTTCAAAGGAAGCAGGAAGCTTTACTGTAAAAGAAAGACTACTGATGGGTCTTGTCAAGAGGAGGGTACCAAGACAGAGACTGGGGACGAACTGTTCATCAAACATTGAAATCATAAAAAGATTTTTAATGCTTTTTCTGTTTTGTTTTTTTTTTTTAAATAGAAATTGGTTTGTGAATGATGTAAGCTCTAGCATATGAACAGTCCTCATATTAATAATAAGTTAACAACATTAATAATAATTACTTGAGTAAATATATACATAGGCAAACGACAGGTCTCCAAAACATGTGCGAAAAGATTCCACCATAGTCATTGCAGAGCATAATAACACAAAACAAGAAAATGTACAGAAAGACTGGTTAAACAACATAGTTTTGTTTGAGCGCTTGGTAATTATAAGTTTTGGACCAAGAGTTATTCAATTTTCTCATGAGATCCTAAATCAGTTTGTACAAGAAATTAGTAGAGTCCAAAATCATAGAGAAGATACTGATTCCAAATAGGGATAAACAAGAACAACTCTATTGGGATTTAGAGGAAAAAAAAAATTTTAATCAATCATGCATAATGTCTTTTATGACAAACCATTCTTGAATCATGATTTAGACAAGGTGAAACAACCATAAACACAGAAATGAAAAGAGCCTAAACTTTTTTCTTTCTTTCTTGCGAGCTAAAAGAAAGAGATATCAGATCTAAAGTAAGTCTAGTTAGATGTAGTAAAAGATCCTAAGACAAGATAAAGAAAACCCTAAAATGGAAGAATTGAAAAAAAAAAAAAGAAAAGAAAGAAAGATGAGATCTCAACCAAATCAAAACTAATGGTAGATGTCATAATAAGAACTTACCATGGATCTTGAGATTTCAAGACTAAAAACCCTAGCTATCTCTCTTTTTGAAACTTTTTCGGGTCGTGCTGAAACTATAAGTGAAGAACAGTAACTTATAGAAAAGGAGAAGTATGTGGATGTAGCCACTAGTAACTAGCTAGGTATTAGCAAGTAGTGGTTCAAAGAAGTGACAAACAAAAGAGATGGTGATGATGAATGATGATGATACTGGTGGTGACTGGTGACGTTGGGTCATTGTCTTCATGGGAGTGAGGGAAAGCTAACTGTTTCTTCATATCTCACCATATCTCACATACATGATATTATTGTGATATATAAAGAGAGATGGCGACTTGTATAATTTTGTGTTGTTTTTCAGGTTTTTGCCGTTTGATTTTTGATTTTTTTTATGGGAGGGAGCTATTAAGGTTCATCAGCCAGCTTTAAGGTTCTTTAGTTTTTTTTAGAAAAAATTGGATCACATTTATTGAGCGGTGGAAGAGCTTGATGAGAATTTAGATAATGTTTTTTAGTACTTAGTCTTTTTATTCGATTTCTTATTTATTTAAGCTTAGATTAACGAGTGGACCAGAGATGGCACAGTAGTAGCTCGAAGTCACATTATTGTACACTGAGGATGATTAGCGTATCTATTATATTACTGGTCCCCAAAAATAATGCTATCGTTGTCTTTTTGCATTCAAGAATCTCACAAGCTCGTGAACACACATTTCTCTAAGTGAAAAATATATCCAAGTTTTTCTTCAAAAAAATAAAAATAAAATAAATAAGTATATATATATCTAAGTATCAAATACTGAATATGATCGGTAAGCATTCAAAAATTGACATAAGTTTACACTAGTTAGTTTTGGTGGTAAATGGATTCCATGTGTAACTAGTCTGACGTATCCGAATTTGATTCACATTGGGAAAGATATGTTACGCCAAAAATAGTATTAACACCAGCTAAAGGAAACATCTCTGTATACCAAAAAAAATTGACATCAGCATGGACTCACAATTGTTGCATAATAAACTTATAAAACTATTAAAAGTACTTTGATTCTTGTAAATAGATTTTAGCTTTTGGATATTTTAATGTTGTCTTATATTTACAGTATATACACTTCTACATATATAAATAGATGGATATGATCTCTTAGAAAATCGATTAAATAGTTATAGATGAAAAACATCTTAGCGAGATCCAAATATCCTAACTATAGTTTTACTATCTCCAAAACCTTTTCAAATTGGATTTATAATCCCAAATTTATACTGTCACACCTTACTTGTGGAATCGCAAGTTCTTTTATCAAGAGTTAATCAAGTTTCAAATGTAATTATATTTACAAAATAGTATGCTGGTTGATCTAATTGAGAACCACTTAGCTTATCAATGTTTACTAAGTGTTTTACCAGTATATGTGGATATAACTTTTTTTTTACAAATACTTATTATTTTTATTTTATTAATTAAAAAATCAGCATAATAAGTTATTATTCATGTTCTCTAAAAATTTAAATCACATCACATTATTTATATATATAAAAAACTCATCAAAATATATATGCTTATTATTGTTTTAAAATATTTAAGAAAATATCTTTATACAAATGTTTTTTAATTAGTATGTAACTATAAATTATGTTTTATCTTAATTTAAATTTTGTAGTAAAAATATTATTTTCAGATAACAACATAGTATATATAAGAATTATTTTATTTTTATATTTGAAATTTTTATTATATTAATTTATAATCAATGATCTAATATAATATATAAATTTACTATTATTAAAGTAAAATTCGTTTGAAATCATATAATAAATTATATATAACGATTCACTAGGAGTATCATCGACTTTAACCGTTTTAATTTTCAACGTAAATAATATACATTTCGTAAATAGTAATATTTACGAAAAATCTTTTTGTAAATAATAATATAGATAGACATCTCTAATACACACATTCTTTTTGGAGTTAATCTTCTAAATACATGCATAAAATATGCAGTGTGATTGGTCGATTGCATGATACTTTTACAAACTTACTTTAGACTACGTATAAAGTCACACATATTATTGTTGTTTACAAGATTCTTGATCGTCACATATACTTAGGCAAATAAGTAAACAGGATACAAAGTTTCATAATCTCAAAGAACCACAAAGATATAAGTGGGTGTGCGATTCAAATAAGATTGATTCCAATTCAGATAGAAAAAGATTACGTCGTCTCTGAGCAGGACCACCATTGTCTGAGTTTAAACAGCCACAAGAAGAAGCTTTAAAATGACGATTTTACCCTGCCAACCTGTCATCTGCGAGACTGAGAACAGACCAGAGTAGCAGTGGCATGGAGTTTTGAACTTTCTTACACTCTGTGGGTCCTTCATGTTGTGCTTGTTTCTTCGTTCAAGAAGATCAAGTAACTAAAAACAGTCCACCCGACCCGGGTCTATAGGTCTACTATGACTAGCCTAGGAGTGAATATAGAAGATTAGAGCTGTTATGAGTTGGTTAGATAGTTGGGGAATGGGAAGGACTATTAGGACTATAACAAAGCTTCCAAGAAGTTTAGCTGCTCAGCTATCTATCTTCAGAACTAAATGTGGCACATTAGAGCTTGTTGTGAGTTTGATTAGAGAGCAGTTAGGAACTGGTGAGACTCCCATTTATCCATCTTCTGGTTTGTTTCCTTAGTATGACAATGAAGCTTTTGGTAGTGCACATTCCAGTGACGTCTGGTCCTGACCAACGGTTATTTTTTGGCTGGCGATGAAGAAGGGGTACAAAGTAAGTGGTGGTTTAATCTTTGAGTTAAGAGACCCTGTTGTGAAAGCCATGGCAGCAAAGTTTCAATGAATCAGACTCTGATCCAGAATCTGATTCTGCATCACATTTCACCCCAAACGGTCTCAACCTGTCTGTGTTTGCTTCCAATGGAGGTATGCCATCATCATCACTCAAAAATATCTCACCGTCTTGCTGTCTCATGGATAATCTGAGACCTTTCATCAGCAGGAATAGGCTTATCATCTCTGAAGATTTCAGGCTTGCTTTCACCCCCAAATTTACATGAGCTTTAACAAACAAAACTAAATGTCATTCATATTACTGTCAAAAGAAACAAGTCATTTTTTTTTTTACCATTCAGGAGACAGACTTGCTCAAAGAATAGAACGTTACAAACAATAGAAGTAACTTTCCTTTACAAATCACTACAAAGCATAAACTAGCCAAGTAGCATTAAAAAGCTAGAGAAGTTACCTCGTCTGATCCACATGCTCTGGCGAAACTTAGCTGGAAACAATGCTAATGATTTCTTTCCTCTTGCATCCTTTATCTTCAGACAGACAAAACAGCAGTTACAGAACAAATTAACTGCACACTCTACCTGTCCTAAGACTATAGCATGAAAAAGGAAATGAAAAATTTCACCTTTAAGCAAGTACTTAACATACAAAACGCTTATGGATTAACGAGAATGAATAAAGTAAGGAAGGAACACACATCAATGAAAAAGGCTTACTTACTTACTTACCTCAATTTGATTGGAGCCTCTGAGAGAGAGGACCTTAGCGATGCTTTGGCATTCCTCAAGCGTGAAGTCTTGCTCTGAAGCTGCTTGTTTCAGGTTACTTCTTCCTATGTTCATCTCTTTAACTCCTCTTACTCTAAACTACTACAAAAGCTCCAAAAGAAGCTACAACAAAGATATCTAGATATTTTAACTGGAACTCGCATCAGTTCCGAAGGAAAGTTCTTTTAAGAGTTGTTTGCATTAAGTTTGTTCATGGCTGAATCATCATGTATACTTGGAAATAACAACATACACTTTAAAAAAAAAAAAAAGCAATCAGGATTCTCTTTTCTGATAGTTTCGAAATTGGAAGTGTATCCTTTCTCTTGTGTTATAACATTTGAGAAGACACAAGGTCTAACATGAAACCACAAACCCCACTAAAACAAGAAAAACTTATTCAGTTTCATCGCAAAGATGCGATAAACAAACTTAGAAAAAAAAAACAAAAGAAAAACTCTTCACTTTGTCATGAGTCTTTGATGATCTCTCACTCAGTTCTCTTCAGCTGGTTTATCAATAAACGTCTTCTTTATCCAATCAAATGGCTGTAATGACAAAAATATCCATCTCAGCGAAACAAAATGAGATACCAAAAGGCAATATTAAAGAACTAAGAGACTACTAATCTCTTCATAACACAACAAAGAAAGTAACCACCTTTATGAAACACATGTAACCATATCAATACAATTTAAAGACTTTTCATGAATCATCCACTAACCAAAAATCATCATTTTCCACCCAAACCAATCCAACAATGTCACACCATAGATCTCAGATCAGGAACCGAATCCGTGAAACCCAATTCCAAAAGGCAGCTCTAAGCTAAACATCTACGGTAATAGATCCACAGAGAAAGAGGCTTACTTGGACGATCCAGATGGCTCCGGCTGCGGCGGCGATACCCCATCCCGCGGCAGCTTGGATATCAACGGATTGGATCTTTGGCTTCATGGCCTTGAGCGCACCTCCTCCTCCTGGCATAACTGCTGCTTCGATTTCTAGTTTTCCCTCTCGCTATCGACTTTTAGACCCCACAAAGATCCTTAAAACGAATGATGATAATTCAATGCGGAATGAATGTTTCGCCGTTAAAAGAGACTTCTTTCGATCTAGTCAAACGCTACTTTTCACACTGCGTGCCGTTGAACGTGTACAAACTTAAACAACGTGCCCTTTATCTTTTTTTCCTTGTATTTGCCTATTTGGATTGATTTTGATCTTTTTTTTTTTTTTTTTTTTTTTTTAATCTGGGGGTATACTAGGCCTATGGATACTAGGCCTATGGAGAATTCTAGACTAATCTCAAGAGGAGGTGCAACCCACGGATAGACCCTCTCTCCGGGTATTCAAATGGGCCCTAAAGCATAGACCCATATCCGTGTTAGGTGACCATGATAATTGTGACTTAGTTTCGTGCAGCAGGTGGATCGAACCTGAAACATGTTGGTGTCTCAGTCTCGTCTCCTTATCACTCGACCACAATCACGCGGTCAATTTCGGTTTTCTTTCGATGTACATTTTACACTTCTTTATTTTCATTGTTATACTTGCTCAGACATCTTTGTTTCTAAGTGACTATAAAAATTTAGTAACACTATATAATGAAATTTTTAAACAAAATGTATAGATTGATCAGAAAGTAAAAAGAAAAAAGAAATATAACATCTCCATAAAAAATTATAAACACATGAAAATACTAGCCTCGTGAGGTTGCATCTTCATATAGACAGTAGACATGACACATGAGTGTTTCTAGTTGCCTTCATTTGAGTTTCAGTCATGTTATGCGTCTTGGGTTTCCTGAGAGTCTTCTTGTACGTGTGCTTTAAGGCGAGTCTTTCTTACTCTTGAAACATCACCATCACACAAATAAGCAAGCATATTACAGTAAACCAAATATTCATTTAGTTAATTTTGAAATGTTATATTTAGTCTGTTTCGATGCTATGTAGCTTTTGACTATAAATATAAAATCAAAAGCAAAAAATCTATAAGTAGAATAGAAGAAGGAAATCCTTTATGAAAAAGAAAGTCAACATGAAGCAAATTACGGTTTGAATAAGAAGAGTTTAGGCATTTCTAGAGTTACTAACCTGGACTTTAATGTTCATATGCCAATTTTGGAGTACGCTCTGCTTAGCAATCCACAACAAATTTGTATTTTTCTCAAGTCTTTGAAATGATTTTTTTGAAGATTATTGTTATGCCACTGTTCAGCCAGAAACTATGTCGGTGTGGATCCATAGTAGATTCAACATTGAGGATACAATCGTTCAGTCTATCTAGTTAAGAATTAAAATCCACAATATTTTGGAGAAAGTTAAGAGTAGTAGTTACAAATAAAGAGTTACGGAATTTACAATTTCTAAAATCAAAGTAGAGATGAATTTAAGCTAATGGCATCATCAGTTAAACCGTATCTAAAGATAAAGATTAACTGCTCCAATAAAATCGTGGGATCATGGGTGTTTTGGAATTGCTATTAGAAATTTTTTTCTTTTATTTATATAGGAAAACTAGGGGAAGTCCGCGATACGCGCGGGATATGATAATTGCGGGTCATATAATACTACTTTTCTATATAATATTTTGTCATTTGAGATAAAAAAAATTTGACTATTTACTTGAATTTAATTGGTTTTTAAAATGTTTGACTTCGACTAATAACGACAAATATATATTGTTAATTGTGTATTACTTCAATTGTGATTTATAACATACTTGTAGTGACGATGACATACTTCCTGTCATGTTCATATAGTTGTGGAATACAGGAATTTTTTTCAAGAGGTATGTATATTGATTTGGTTATAACTGATAATACTGTGGATTGGTATACTAATTGCTTTGGGCTATGAAGGGTTTTTAAATCATAATAACTGTTTATATATGATGGCGTATATCTGCATAAAATAGAAATGTATTTAATTTAATATTTTTAAAAAAAAAATTGGAATGGGTAATGGCAACTATAGTGTTGGTTGGAATGAATACGATAGCTATTTTTATTATATAATGACTAAGTAACACAGAAAATCATATGTTTTTCATTAAAACCAAAATATGTTGCCTGATGAAGAATAATAAAGTCGGAAATGGCTAGAAATAGTTTCATAGACTTTTTGTTTTTTTAGAAAAGCATGGCATATAAATCCTTACAATTCCAAGACGTACGCCAATTAAAAATGTGATGAGTGTATCATAATTTCTGTGACTCGAAAGGAACCCTTCCTGTTTCTTTATTCAAACATCATCTCACCGTTAAAGTAAACCTTGAGAGGGAAGGATACCTGTTTGTTCACTGGAATCATTGGTGCTGGTCAGTAGTGTAAGCGTAGATAGTGTAAACCTGGTATGTATATGTATACTAATTTTTAACTGCTTACCTGAGTTACACGGAGGTCCCTGAATATCTCCTTGTATACGATATTAGTCACGCCACCTTCACCGTCTAGCTCTTAAGTAATCCTTCTTCCAGTAGTTATTAAGGAAGTCCGGATAAGCTGCATCTGCCAATGCTTGGTGTGGGTATTCAGTCTTTGATATCAAGAATTGTTTGTCAGCTACTATCTCATCACCTTCCTCATGTTTCCTTAGAGACGAAGCATGAGTCTCAGCTTCCCCATCACCTACTTTCAGAATCCATTGAGCGAATGCTCTGTATTTCTGTCTGAGGCGCATGTTTGTAGTGAGAGTGTAGACTTTAGCAATTTTCCAGAGGTAGAACTTGCTAATGGATGCTAGAATAGTGTCAGTACGTATTGTCGTGGATGAATGGGCTGGTTTGCGTTAGCTTGTGTAAGATATATAGGATTTAGCCACGGACGGTGGTTATCGTCATAAAGAGGACTGGTCAGAGAAGATGTTCCTGCAACAGAGGAAGATCAATGGTAGTAATCAGTTTAGTCAAATTTTGGTTTGTGTAGATTTAAAAACTTGTATACATCACGGGGAACGATACATGATACGAAACGCGGCCTTCCACTCTTGCGTTTTTCAACTTGTGCCATGTTAGCTAAGACATAGAACAAATGAGTTACTATTTGAAATCTCTGATAATATAAATAAAATGTAGATAATAGCAAACCTTTGGGGATTGAATATCTCTGTTTTGTCGTTCGTTTGAGCATCCTCGCTTCTCGAGAAGTCCAGCCTGAAATTAATGCAATTTGGGACGTTAAAAACATGTACAGGACTGTAAAAGTTGGGATGGTTAAAAACTGATTAGGTTTACCTTATAACATAACGTTCCGGTTTCCCTTAGCGTTTTTCTTCTATTATTTAAAACCAATTCAGGAAGAAGGGAAAAAACTTCGTCTGCTCTGCTAAAAACAGAGCCACTATAGCTCTTGGGACTCTTCCTCGTCACATGCTGAATCGACATCATCACCAAATCATATGCTGCTCCACGCCAAATATAGCTCCTCCTATATCGGGAATTGCCAAAAAATATCTTCATCCATCACCATCGGTCTATAAGTTTCGAGTACAACCTCCACTAATGATCTTATTTTTGGATGAGATCTTGTGAAGAAGCATCACTGATTGAACTCTTAACATTGAAATTCTCTGGCATCTGGGAATCAATTATATTATCGATGTTAGTAGAAACGTATGGAAAATCTCTATTTAACTCACTGAAATAAAGAGTAAGGTGATCTAGAATGTCTCAACGCCATCTATACTATTATTTGCGAAATAATTTTTCGCAATGGAGCTCTCATAATAAAAAGTTAGAGTGGTTAATATCTATTTTACCCTTAATGAATAAATATATATAAATTAGTCAAAAATAAAAAATGAATTTAATACTTATTTGATTAGATAAATGATTTAAATTAATAATAATGATAAGAATTATCCATAATATAAATCTATACTATTTAAAAGAAAAAAAAAGATAATTCCTATATTTACAAGATAATTCCTATATTTATTGTGTTGTTATCCGGAAAATATATTTTTAATAAAAAAATTTAAAAACAAAAAACACATAAATAAATATTCATAAAATAAAAATTTTAATTGTATATAATTCAAAAGAGAAGATTGAAAAATATAATACGTAATTATTTTTTAAAAGAATATGATAATATAATAATATAATGATATATATATATATATTTGTGAAGTTATTTTTCTCCTCTAAACTCACACGTTAAATTAAATTTAAATTTATATTTAATATAGTTAAACCTTAAGTATGAATTAATCATATAAAAGACAAGATCATTGAAAAGAAAAAAAATACGTGTGTGATAAAAAACAAATTAAAATATATTGTATTATTATCCAAACTAATATTATTCTTTTGTAATAAATTAAAATATTATATATATATATATTTGTTAAGTTATTTTTCTCCTCGGAACTCACATGTTAAATTAAATTTATATTTATATTTTATATAGTTAAACCTTAAGCATGAATTAATCATATTAAATAAAAGATCATTAAAAAAGAAAAAAATATGTGTTTGATAAAAATAAATTAAAATATATTTTATTATTAACCAAACTAATATTATTATTTTTGTAAGATCATTTTTAAAAATTTATATTTATCGATTCCATTTTTCAAATGGAAAGATAGATTTCTATATTATTTTATCAATTAAGAAGAAATGAAATAGACTTTATATTTTTCAAAGTTTTAAAATAAAAATAGTTTGTTTTAATTTGTGAATAACTTTATTATGTAGAAAAGTTTAATGTTTTAGGTCAAATTTTGATAATCATTTATTTTGAGGATTTTTTTAAATTGATTTAAAGATAATTAAGCCCGCATGTGCGGGCAAAACACCTAGTTAAATTATATATGATATAATACCATAAAACACCAACCGCCAGAAGTGTTATCAATGTAAGATGATTGTAACTTTGCATGCTCCACCTTTGCAATAACCAAGGTTGTTTCTTCACCCAAATAAGGTAACACCAAGCTGACAAATCTAGAGCCCAAAAAAATCTAAACGAAAGCAAGAAAACTACCTTAGAGAGAGAAACGTGGCAAGCTCTTGCTTTCCTATTATCTAAATTTCCACGCCAAGGAGTGTAGAAAGTGACCTGGACTGGATCATCCAAA